ACTCTACATATTCTAAGTATCCATTAGCTCAATTAGTCAGGATGTTTTGGGCAGAATTTATTGACCCAAGAGATAGGTGGCTAGTTCCTGTTTGCCTAGCCAAGGGACTGTCAAAATTGTCCTGTGTTAACATATGGCTATGTACCAAAGGCAGCTAGAACAGAGTACTAAGTAATCTTTAGAACACACAAAGTTACTAGTAACTTGGAGAGAACCCCTCCTGAGTTCTTGCTTTCACAAGTTCAAAATTTCATTTGCATGGATGATCAGATTTTAGGTCATCCTTGTTGATTAAGCATTTTGAGATAGCAATAGCCGCCTTTCACCTATATTTAAATATCTCGTGTAAGGAAGAAAATAGATTTTACTGTTAAATAATAACAAAGGCAGCTACATTAAAGATGTAAACACAGTTTATACCCATCTTAATCCACAAGCTGACAGACAGCACTATTAGATTGTGATAATAAACAGCCGTATTGAACAAGTCTTTGATTTAGAAAGATATCTCTAGAGAAATGGTTCATAGAGAAGCAATCATCTCAATCCAAATTTCCTGTGAATGATGCTTTGCCTGAACTAGTGACATTGCTGGCATTCTAGTATAGCATAATTATAAGTTGGGTTAATACAGAAAGTTCTCTGTAGGATGGTAAATTTAAAAATATGAAAACTCTCAACAGTAATTTGTACTTCTCTGATTCCTGCTGCTGGAGCTATTTGTCAACCATCTCACAGAATTTTCATTTCTTGTTGACTCTGGGAATGTAACTAGAGCAAACATTTAATTTTTTTAACCCTTCTTGCTTTTTATTTTACCTTTGCTTTCTTTTGAAATGAACATATTGGTATAGAAGACCTTGCAAGGATAAGTTTATATGTGCTTTCCTTTGAGGAAGTTTGAATCTTTTCCTTGCAAACATGCCCCCCTTGCATTTTATCATTCAATATTTTACTCATGTTTGTGCTGTGCTCTGAATCCTCTCTCTATTTTCTTCTTATTGTATGATGCTTCTCATGACTCAGCAGGACTGTAAGAAAAGGTGTCAAACGATGCTCTAATATAACTTGATTGCTGGATATATGTATGAGCATGCCAGTTGAGTGTGATTGTCAAAGACAATAATTGATTTTCATAACACTCAAGTTTTGAGATTGAGAAAAGTAGGGAAAAAGAGACAGGAAGGTAAGCAAAGTTAAGATAAAACTTGGGGAGTTTAGTATATTTTCAGGTGAGTACATCTGACATCACTCATTCAGGACATCATTTTGGAAGAGTCCCACATGTCAATACAATATTGAAACTCTAGAAAATCTCAGAAAACAGTTCTTTTGAGATACTTCACACTTAATGATGTATAGAGCACTTGGAGTTTTCACATGTTGGGGAAAAAACCAGCATTTTATTCTGTACCTGTAATACATCTAGATGAATGTAGAGTTATGGTCCCTTGGAATATTAATTTCACTTGTGGATCTCACTGGACAATATGAACATAACTATCAGGTTTTTTTTTTTTGAGACGGAGTTTCACTCTTGTGACCCAGGCTGGACTGCAATGGCGCAATCTCGGCTCACGCAACCTCCTCCTCCTGGGTTCAGGCAATTCTCCTGCCTCAGCCTCCCGAGTAGCTGGGATTACAGGCACGCGCCACCATGCCCAGCTAATTTTTTGTATCTTTAGTAGAGACGGGGTCTCACCATGTTGACCAAGATGGTCTCGATCTCTTGACCTCATGATCCACCCGCCTCGGCCTCCCAAAGTGCTGGGATTATAGGCTTGAGCCACCGCGCCCGGCCAACTATCAGTTTTTTTGAAGTTGATAAAGTTAAAGTTATACTTGGAAGTTTTAAAGTTTCAGACTTAATTGACCATAGACAGTTAGAAGCTAATTCCAATCATTTCAGTTAAGGAATGAAGTATAGACCATATTTAAAACAAAATCAGGAAACAGTTCTGATTAGGATGAAAGGTCCATCACAAATTAAGAAATTAAAGTGTAATGCTGGTACTTCATGTTAGTACTTCATGTTAGAGCAGGCTGTTAAAAAAATCATGAAGTGAAATATAAGAAGGCTAGATAAGTTTGGAGTAGGCAAGATAAATTATTTGGAAGACTCTGTGCTAACTGCTGTAAGTGTAAGAATCAATTTGGCTGATAAGCAATGAATGACTTACGTTTGATATTTGAATTTTTCTATCAGCATTTTCTGAATGTGGTTTCTCATTATGATAATAAATAAAGAATTAATTATCACCATGATAGCAATGATAATGACACTTTGAACTATTCTTGTCACCATATGACACAGACTATTACTTGCTTTTTAAATTTGAAGACAGATATGTGCACTTGGAAGTGTTCGATTCACTTGGTGAAAGTGATACAATTAAGTTATTGGAGTTAAATGATGGGGAGGCAACATTTTAAAAACACTACTTTCACATTGGCCATCCTGTTACAGTTTTAATTGACCAGTTAAAGCAGAGAATAATTAACTGTATCAGTGCAAATGCTTATGTAAAATGGATAGTTTAATTAAAATATTTGCTAGTTTCTTCTAAAAATCTCTATTGTAGCAGATAGAACGTTGTAAGAAATAATATTGCTAATTACCTTTCCAAAACAATATCCTTCACTAGCTCAAGTACAACAGATTAGATGTAAGGCATTTAATGAGAATGGCACAGCATACTGGATTTTAATTTTAGATTACTGGATGCATACGTGGTAGGCAATAATATAATTGAGAAATGACTATGTTACTAATTGAGACTAATGAAAACAAAATACAGATTTTTTGTTATCATCATTTTTATAGGGACTAGAAACAATGTTTATTAAAATAATGAAATTAATTATGTAAACGATTATATGTTCTTTGTTTTTCTTGTAGAGTGTTCCATATTTACCATTATAAGAAAGGCTGCTGAGTTAAAAGAATAAAAGTTCTGAAATATGGAGTACGTATATTGTTGCTAGCTGCTGTTCTTTGATTCACACAATGTACTCTATGGCACCATGATTATAATAACCACTAGACAGCTCTAAGTAAATGCTATTTATGAATCTTCCTTTTCTTATTTAGGGAAGCACTAGAGTAAGTTGTTTTAAACCCTCTGGAGTTTCAATTCTGTATCTGTTAATGTAGTTTATTTTAATGAAGTAGTTTTCAAACTTTTCTGACTTAGTTCTATAGTAAGACATGTATTTTATTGTATGCACCAATATATTTTCATATATACATAAAACAGAAAAGTTTTACAAAATATTTTTCTTACTACTTTCAATGCACACTAATATTTTCTTTTAAAAATGTGTCTGTTCATATTTTTCTTTAAAAAATACTCTTTATAACTATTAACTGAGGGAGCATGGCTTGAAGTTAGCAAAACTGTTCTCGAGGTTCTTGACATTAGCTCAACCTGATCGAGAGCGGGATCAGAAGGAATGGATGAGTCAGGGGTTAGGCTAAATAATTCTACAAACAGTGCATAGCACAATAATGTAAGTAAATGAGAACAAGGTAGCAGGATTTTTAGAATAACATTTTAATAAAATAGAAGTGTATTTTACTGTCAAAAATATTTTAAATCAGTAAAGAACCAAGGTGAGAAAAATGTCAGTAGTAATTGTGGTACAAAAAGATATTTTCAACATCTAACCTGAGTTTTTAATAAGTTTTAGGTATGTATATGGTTTCTTAATAAAATTTAATAATATTAATATACTTTCTAAAAGACCACTTTTTCTCAAATAGTATTTTACAATATAATTTTAATAGCTATAAATCATAAACCATTATTTAAAAAATTAAATTTTAGTTCTGATTTTTATTATCTTTGATTATGTGGAACAACAAAAAATAAACCACTGTGGGGTACAAAGGCATTGCCAATATAATTAATTTGATTGCTTGGTTGCTCTAACAGAGAGACTGGGTGATTCCTGGCTACAACAGAAGTCTATAGCATTCTTTTCTAAATCATTAATAAATCAGTCGTTAAGATCTAGTTTCTGTTTTTCTGTGTTAAAGGTGGTAGAAAGAAATTCCTAAAGTACATGAATCACCTGGATATAAAATAAAATAAAGTGATTTGACATTATATAAAAATAATAAAAAACTGGAGAAAGAGGAGAGGTTCATGAACATGAAGTTAAGCCTTTGACTTTTTGAGGGAAAGGAAGATCAAATGATCTCAGATAATGACTCCTTTTCTTCACTGGAAACTTTCAGAAACAGTTGTTATTGCAGATGCCCATGGCCTCAGAATGCATTAATATTAACTGTTTATGAAAGGTTCCAATGCATAAAAGGAGTTATGATCAGAGATCATTTAATCTTCCTTTCCCTCAGAAAGTCAAAGACTTAACTTTGCTATAACCCAATATCGAATCCACTAATGTGTGTCCTTAATACAATCATTTTAAGTGACATATAATTAACATGTATCTTGTATAACCTAATACTAGTGTTCAATTAACATGTAATGACTCTATTAGTAAATCAAAGTTAAATGCTTATTGAAGACACCAAGTTTAACATATTGCTTTCCAAACTTTTCATTATTTATGCGTATAAATATCACCAGTGAGTAGTGTATAAGTCCTGGCATCATGACAAACTTTGCCATTAAAAAACAACTCAGAGGTTTAACAAGGTAAGGGCTAGACTTAGCTAGTTTGCTGGACTTACATATTCATTTTAAGCCCAAGAATTTTTCTCTGCCAGATCAAATCTCAGTTGGTTGTCTGAGGGAGCATCCCGGACATAATCTTTCTTTATTTGATTGTGAGGAGAGTTTTGTCCTCCTGAATTACATATTTAGATGCTTCATTTCATATTCAAATTTTTACTTCCGGAAGAGTTTTCAAGTTCTAAAGGAATCCGTGGACTATCTATACTATACATCATTCTTTAATATGGTGGTTTTTATACTTCTCTGAAATTGTTCGCTTCTTATCTCCAGTATGTATAAATATGGTTATATCTGCAGGTACAGCATCTCAACTCAGTTTTCAACATGAAGGACGGGATTGCTCCTGTGTTTGCCTTTAAGGGAACACACAATGGCGAAAGGTGTTGATTCTGGAAAAGACTTTCCCAGTGGCACAACTTACTATGTGGCTTGGGCATAGGCACTTCACCACTTTATGTCTCATTTCCTGTACTGCAAAAAAATGGAAAATATAATAATACCTGTCTTATCTGTATTTGTGAAAACTTCATGGGCTAATTCATGTGACACATATTCACCGTAACATTTAGTAAGTGTTACCTATCTCTGTATCTGTCCTCGATATCTAATAGCATATAAAAGATGGACATAATTGAATAAATATAATTGGGTGGATGAATACATATAGCCAAAATTGTCCAAGGTATCTTGTTTGCCCTATTACTTTATGTAATGCTCAAAGATAAAAACAGCCTATTTTACATTCCCTAAAGTACCTAGTGTTTGATGCCACAAATGATATTTAATGAATGGGATGTGAGGAATAAAATTAGCAATAACTGTTACAAGACAAAGCAGACTCTATCCTAGAATGAAAATTATTTATAATGATTGAATATGTGGAAGTTGCAGGAAAAATGTATTCTGCAACCATCAAAATCATCTCTTTTTAAGAAGTGATTTTAAATGTATATTGAATTGTATATGTGTATACTTTTAAAATAATATATATTCCTTTTCAATTTGACATTTATATTTTTTAGAAATAAATTAAAAGTATGTGACTCCTATGGACTTCAGGGCAGTTCACATAACTGCAATGCTATTCAAATATCTCTGAGATGTTGTTCCCAAAATAAATTCATTTTGGCAATGAATTGGAATCCAGAATTAAGACCTTTATATTCAAAGTAATTAGTAGTACTTAGTAGTATTAGCAGCTTGACCCTGAATTTTGTGGTCTCTTCTCTAGACTATGTATAGATATTTGTGTCAAACAGTGTCTAACCAGTGTACAATAGATATTAAATTATAGGGAACACATAATAGAGGCCGTGGAGCAGCTTGGGAAGTGGAATGTGCATCTGGAAGTTGATGAGGGTGGGTGGAAGCTAAGAGGATACTGAACTTGACTCACATACTTATTATAATTTAGCAAGTTGTGAATTGTTTCAGGTTTTCTTAGAAATTTTAGAAATGAAATAAAATATATCCCACATTGTTTTTTAAATATACATAGCAGGGAGACATGCCTCAGGGTGTAGTAAAAAAATGTGAGAAATTGAAGTCTACATTTGTGGTTTGAACCTGAGTTGTTTTTCTCTGACTGCTGATTCATTTCAACTAAAGAAGAAAAGAATTTCACTTTATGTCACAGAGCTAATGAAGAATTATTTCCATGAAAATATATACTTCATAATTAACACTTGAGACAAAAATATGTTCTTAACCAAATATTTTAAAAATTTAATTGGAAGAGACAGCCAGATCCCAAGATATACATGTTTTAAAATAATAGGTTCAATAGATGATAGCGTAAGGATAAAGAATCTTAAAAGGCCAAGGTATGCAGACATGACATTATCTTGTCTACTCCTATTGTAAGCATCATTTTTGAGAAAAAAAGTTAGAGTATTTTTAAATGATACATGAAAATTTAAATTGTATTTTTTTAACATTATAAACATGTTGTTTCCCTTAAATGCTGCCTCCAGAAATAATGTTCTGCTAAAAATATGTAAAACTTAACCAAACCCCTTTTCTACTTCATTCCATTAGTCAAATTACTGTGGATTTGACTAATTTGCAGCTAGAAGACAATGGGAGACTATTCATTGAAATATATTTAATTGAACTTATGATTCAACAGCTATATTTCATTTCATACACTTTCCTCTCTTCATTTTCCTATCTTCCTCATGGCTATATTTCATCATTGTCCTTCTAGCCATAATTTATTCATCCCAACACTCCTCTTTTTTATTCCTTCTTTTTTTCCCTTTTCACTTTCGTTTCTTCTTCTCTTCTCTCTCTTCTGCAAGCCTAAATTTCTGTGGCCTATCCTCTGTATCTGTTTTCTCTGCACAGGAATGTAAGCAAGGTCTTAGAAAAAGAGAGGTGAACAAAGATCAAATAACCATATTGTTGGTTGCTCTTTGCATAGTCCACTAATTAGCAGTAATCCAGCCATTCATCTGGGTGTCTAAACCCCAGTTTATTCAAATTTGCCTGGAGTTGCATGTGAGCTGAGGAAATCCCAGGAGGCCCACCTCCAGAGCAGAATGTCTTTATCCTCTTTCAGACCTCTCTGCCCTGGAGAAGGATGCTGGTTATCACTTTGAGTTGAAATTTTAACTTATCTTCAATGTTTATGAAACCTCAAAATACATATATTAAATATTGCTGTAAACATTTTAAAGACAATGTTGCTAGAATAATTTTATCGACAGAGTTAGCAAAATGCTTTTTAATAAAGATCTAGTATTACTAAGCCTTAAATAGATATTACTCTCAAAAAATATATTCTGTCTTTAAACAAAAAAGATCGAAACAATGAATCAAAGAATGTTTCTTTGAACATGTTAAATGCAATATAGCAAAAATTTTGGTAAAGATTTTTAAGGGGAAAATTATTAACCAGAGGGCTCTTCAATTGAAAAGAAGCCATATCTTTCAGAAAACATCTTTCCTGTATGTAAAGCAAAGTGTCTTTTGTTCGCTTTTGGATCACTCAGATTAACAAAGTACTCTGTATTGGTGAGACCCTTTGATGACTGACATTTTTCTGTTACGTTTCTCTTTTTCATTTTTTTCTTTTGAGATGGAGTTTTGTGCTTGTCTCCCAGGCTGGAATGCAATGGCACCATCACCACTCACTGAAACTTTTGCCTCCTGGGTTCAAGTGATTCTACTGTCTCAGCCTCCCGAACAGCTGGGATTACAGGCACACGCCACCACCCTGGGCTAATTTTTGTAATTTTAGTAGAGACAAGGTTTCATCATATTAATTGAGCTGGTCTTGAACTCCTGACCTCAGTTGATCCACCTGCCTTGGCCTCCCAAAATGCTGGGATTACAGGCCTGAGCCACTGCACTCAGCCATCTGTTGTGTTTTTAAAGGCCTTTTCCTTCACACAGCATTTTGCAAAACTCATTAATATATTTGTAAAGTTTAAAAAAAATTAGTATAAACAACTCCGGAATTTGTAAATAAAGTAAAGGAATTAAAAGCTCACTAGGAAGCATATTAACAACAAATATTTTTTAAAATTTGGTTTGACTGAGTAACAACCTTATTCCCATAGTTGCTGGGATCCTTCCTTGGATTTTTTATTTTGCCACAGCTTCTTCCCTATGTCTTATAATTCTCTATTTATAATTCCCTGATTTTTGTGTTTCTTCCTTCTACTGTTGCTATTTTTAATGAAAATAATTTAAATGTTCATGTAAGGGACTTTATGGCCGGTCACAGTAGCTCACATCTGTAATCCCAGCATTTTGGTAGGCCAACATGGGCATATCACCTGAGGTGGAGTTTGAAACCAGCCTGGCCAACATGGTGAAACTTCTCTTTACTAAAAATACGAAAATTAGGCTGGCGCACTGGCATGCACCTGTAATTCCAGCTACTCAGGAGGCTGAGGCAGCAGAATCACTTGAACCCAGGAGGTGGAGGTTGCAGTGAGCTGAAATCTTGCCACTGCACTCCAACCTGGGAGACAGAGTAAGACACCATCTCAAAAAAGAAAAAAAAAAGGGTCGGGGTGGGGGGAACTCCACATATATTGCTGTAGGCTCCTTATCGTCTATTAATAAAGTTTTCTAAATCAAAATGGAATGTATTTCATTTGAAACCCACTCACACTCACTTCTAGTTCAATGATTTTTGCACAGGGTTAGTCAAAAATCTGACAGTGCAGAGGTATCCTATCTGAAGTTTCTGTTCTCATTTGTCACTTTAAGGAAGTAGAAACTGGCTGCAAAGTAATCATCAAGCCACAGCTATTGTCTTACTTAATCAGTTCTTCCTCATTAACATAAATAACTGAGGAATTATTAGGGAAATGTTACAACCTATCTTTCCTGGATAAAGTCTTTTCCCTTTTTGTACTCTAGGCACATTGGCCTTCAGTTTCTTCATGTCCTTTCCAAGCTCAGGGCCTTTGCACATAGTGTTCTTTCTAGGTAGAATAATTCCTGCTTAATTTTTATTGTATTAATTGCTACTAATTCCAAAAATCTCAGCTTAAATGTGAGCTTCTTTTGCATGCTTCTTCTAACTACCCAAAATTCATAGGTTTTTCAAATAAACGTTACCATAAAGATTGCATTTCTTCTTAACACTTACTACATTTCCAAGAATTCTAATGACAGGATTCTTTCCGTAAGTCTTTCTATTATGTCTGCCTTTGCTGCTAACCTGAGAAGTCCGTCATGGCAAGGACTGTGTCTGACATGGTCATTACTATGCCCGTAGTACCTGGTGGAATGCTTGAAACACTGAAGGTGTACCACGATTATTTATTGGGAGAAAGAAGACTTGTGGGAAAGGATGGGTGGAGGTGAGGTGTAAAAGACTACAAATTGGGTTCAGTGTATATTCTTTGGGTGATGGGTGCACTAAAATCTCACAAGTCACCACTAAAGAACTTACTTATGTAACCAAAACCACCTGTTCCCACAAAACATATGGAAACAAAATCTTTTTTAAAAAGACAAAGTTATAAAGAAACATTGTTTTTCAATTAACTTTAAAATAAAACTGGTACATTGAAATTATTTTGAAAATATCCAAGAACTAATCTTTTTTCTTAAAGTCATAATTAGATAGTCTCTTAGTATCTGAGGGAGATGATGGAGCAATGAGATTATGGGGAGACGAGAGCATCATATACGCCACATGGCATATAACAATGAAGAAGTAACTAACTCTACTGGAACTAAGGTTTCAGACAAATGAAACATCATAGAGGTAATGATCAATATATATATTTGTAAAATTTTGAGTTTGTTAGGCCTTTTGTTCATCTAACAGGTAATGAAATCACTGTGGAAAATCCTGCAGATACAGAGAACTGAAGAAAATGTATCTCAACTATCTGTAACTTAAGGAACAAACCAGAATAAGGAAGGGATAAAATGACAAATGAACTATAAGTAAGTACAACACTGAAAATAGTCAGAGTCCATGAGATTCCAGGTGGAATATGAGAGAAGAAGTAAATTTGTGGAGGTGTGAATATACATGCACACACAGGTAATAGCAAGAAGGTCAGTTGAAGAATATGTTGAGATTATGAATGTGTGCTAAGGCAGTTTGCAATACATAACTCATGTTTGTTTTATTTTTGTTTATGTTAATTTTTCTATAGGTAACTTTGAAGTCAATGAGGCAAATAGGTGAAAGAGAGGAGGTAATGAAACAGTGGTAACAGTCAAGAGCCTACTGAAACAATTCATGCAAGAGATGACCAAACTATACCTTGCGTTATTAGTTAGTAGATAAAATAAACAGAAAAGGCAATATTCCCTAGATAATTGAAATGAACACTTTCAAACAGTTATTGTAGAGT